TGGGTCGCTCTCATTCGCCTCCCGTTCTGGCGAGCTCCCCTACTGCACGCCGACGCTTGTGTATACTGTCTGTGCCTAGCCTCGTCCTTCACGCCTTGTGCATACTGTCTCGACGCCTGCAGATCTGGCCAGGCACATGCGTTGCTTGTGTCTCCCCGCCCTCTCGTCGGGGGTCGCTCCCGTTCGCATCTCCTGCGTCGTGGGGCTCCCTTCGCCCATCGGAATTTCAAGTGATGCTTCTCTTGTGGCGAGTGCCACCCACTCGCGTTCTCATTGCAGCGATGGTGGTGTTCTTATTTGTCAGGTCTCTGCTCGGCTCTACATCGCATTGTCGTCCCTCCGCTCTAGGAGTGCGTGTTCACGTTATGTGACCTTGCGTTGTTGGTACATCGTTGGCATTGCCACATGATTTGTTTTGTCGCGTCTACTTGTGGATAGTGTTTCTGCAAAGCGTGCCCGCTCCTGCAGTGTCAATTACAGGCTGAGGCGTGCCGTTGTTGTCTATACGATGCAGGCCTCCTGCTGCCAGCTCGTTGCACCCTGCGCACGGCTTGCCGTAAGCTGGGTGGCCGCTCGGGCGTGTCGGGTTGCGCTGATTGCGGCCCTGCCTTGCCCTCGCCCTCTTTCTGTTCCTGCTTCGTTAGAAGAAGGAAAAGCGCCATAAACATAAACTGGTGGTGTTCCGCGCGGATTCCTTGGATCTGCGCGGGACCCCACTCCCTGGCGCGCTTGGAGCGCGCCAGGGGCGGCGCCGTAGACGCCGCCAGGGGGGCCCCAGCGCGGATCAAAAGTTTACGTGCATGGCGTGTGTTCTTATTCGATTCACTCCCCCCCTCCCCCCCCCCTGGAGGGCCCCCCCTTCCCTTCCCCCCCCTTCCCCCCCTTCCTTTCCTCCCCCCTTTCCTTCCCCCCCCTCCCCGGCTCGGGTTGGCGCACGCCCTGCAGGACCTTCGCGCCCCTCCAGGAACGACGCCCGTGCAAGGTTGGCAGTTGCTCAGAGCTGTTCACGAGTCGCTGCCAGTCCATGCTCTGACCGTATCTAGGGAGCCCACAAAGGACGTACGCGCCCAGCTATGTACATGAACACGGCCCCTCGATCCGCGAGACCTGCCGCGTTATACGAACATTTGCGCTATGCGTACTCTCGAAACCAGCGTGGATTCATGTACGTGTACGTCCTTTTGTCGCTCCTGAGTATCCCCCCTATCGGCCCATGCTTGAACGACCTACTCCCTCGCTCGATGCTCTCTCGCCCACATCTTCGAGGCCCCGACCAGCCTCGAGGACACCCGCTCCTCCTCCTCCTCCTCCTCCTCCTCCTCCTCCTCCTCCTCCTCTCCTCCTCCTCCTCCTCCTCCTCCTCCTCCTCCTCCTCCTCCTCCTCCTCCCCCCCCCCTCCTCCTCCTCCTCCTCCTCGCCCTCCGAACCCTGGCCGGCAGGGACGAAATGATGGCAGAGGACACCAAAGCGCGCAGTGGCAGAAGAGAGAGCCACAGAGAGCCGTCGGCGAGAGCACGGGCACCACAGTTTTCAGCATGGCTGCGGGCAGGTGCCGCGACTCGTGCTGGGCGCGCGCCGGTACGGTATGTATGACAGAATGAACCGCTGTGCAAGAACAGCTCGCGTGGCAGGGATGATTTGCAAAAAGATTCCAAAAAAACCCAGGATTGCAAAAAAACCGAAGGATTGCAAAAAAACCCTTGAACGAAGGATTGCAAAAAAACCCTTGACCGAAGGATTGCAAAAAAACCCTTGACCGAAGGGGTTTTTTTGCAATCCTTGGTTGACAAAGAAGGGGCACCGTCGGCGGAGGAGAGAGGCAGACGAGGTGGCGGGGCTCGCGCACGCATCTCCACGGATCGTGATGCTGGATGTGCACGTGGTACGGCACCGCCGACAACTCAGAGCGCTGCGCTGACACGTTGGCGGAATCTGCCGCGAGCATCTGGATGTGTAGGCTGTGATGGCCTCCAACATACTGTTACAGTGACTCGTCTGCTGGAACATGTTCGACCTCATTCTGACTGAGCGGACTGGAAGTATGGTCCAACGGTTGTGTTCTCACGTGCCTATCCGCACGGCTTGCCCCAACTATTCGCATGGCTCTTGACATGGCCTTCGTGGCTAGTGGTGTACGCGCTGGTTTGCGTGATTGATGGCGCTTATCATGCTCATGTGTGTGCTTGATGGTGCTTGACTGCCTACTTCATCCTTCTCTCGTGAACCTGCCCATCAGAATTGTCTCTTTCTCTGCAAAGGAGCACCATCGCAAGCAGCAGACCTGGAAAAGCCACTGAGGCAGCAGCCGCACTGTTGAACTGCAACGGTCCAGCCCGAGACCAGCATAGAAATTGAAGATGGACCTGCGAGGTTGTCCAGAAAAATCCGGGTTCGGCGGACGCAGACAAAAGCCTGCCAAGAAGGAGATGGGTGGAGCGAGAGGGAGAACGAATGCGAGGGGGAGCGAGAAAAGGGAGAGACGTCCAGACGAACGTCCGCATTGTCCTGGCGAAGGACCCATCCAAATGCAGTTGTGGACCTCCATATGGGCCTAGTGAGGGGTGTGCCGAAATGGAGGCGGGGACGCATGTGGTCACAGCCACTGGCGCTTTCGGTGGCACTGCCTACGGGGCCACGAAACATTTCAAGGGTCTGCCGAAATGTGTGGCAGGAGCGGATGTGGTCACAGCGAGCTGCCTCATGGGGCCACGAAACGTGTGAGGGGTCTGCCGAAATCTGCAGCGGGAACGCATGTGGTCACAGACACTGGGGCCTTCGGTGGAGCTCCCGATGGGGCCACGGAACGTGTGACGGCTGTGCCAGGGTGGGTGGCGGGGACGCATGTTGTCACAGCCACTGGGGCCTTCGGTGGAGCTCCCGATGGGGCCACGGAACGTGTGAGGGGTGCAAACATGGGTGGTGGGACGCATGTGGTCACAGACACTGGGGCCTTCGGTGGAGCTCCGATGGGGCCACAGAACGTGTGAGGAGTGTGCCCACATGGGTGGCGTGGACGCATGTGGTCACAGCCACTGAGGCCTTCGGTGGGGGTTCCCCATGGGGCCACGGGACGTGTGAGGGGTCTGCCGAAATGGGTGGCAGGGGCGGCTGTGGCCACAGCCATTGGGGCCTTCGGTGGAGATCTCTCTGGGGCCACGAAACGTGTGACGGGTGTGCTGGAATAGGTGGCGGGGACGCCGCATGTGGTCACAGCCACTGGGGCTTTCGGAAGGAGCTCCCTATGGGGCCACGAAGCGCTCTATTGGGTGCACTGAAACAATGGACATGCGGAGGGCAGAGGCGGGGATGGGAAGAGGGGGGGAGGAGAGGAGGAGGAGGAGGAGGAGGAGGAGGAGGAGGACGAGAAGGAGAAGGAGACGTAAAAGGTGAAGGTGAAGGTGACGTAGAAGGACAAGGAGAAGGAGAAGCAGAAGGAAAAGAAGAAGGAGAAAGACAAGGAGAGGGAGAAAAAGAAGCAGAAGGTGAAGGAGAAGGAGAAGGAACTCGGGGCGCCGTCTCTGTAAAACGAGGACCCAACACCAGAGGATTGTTGGGAAAAAGCATTTCGTGCGTGCGTAGACAATACATCCCGTGCAACGTCGGAGGCCTTACCCACGCAGAAACCCCACGCGAGCCAGAAGATTGCGCTTCAGAGTAAGGCCGCCCGTCAAGATTCAGAGCCAGAACCGAACAGAACCGAATGAGCGAACACCATGTGCCGCAATTGCCAATCCACCACAGGAGAACGAGGGAGAGGAAACAAGAATAGCAGGAGCACGGAATGCGTGCGAGTGCGAACAAGCACTGAATACAAGAAGTGTCGTGCCGCACGTGGAGGGGGGCAGGGAGACGAAAAACCCTGTGGGCAAACTGCCCCTGACGGCCCCAGGCGTTGGACGCTGCCCCGTGACTGGGAGTCAACACGGTGAGATGCAATTACGCTACCGAAGAGCCCCACCTAGCTATCTTTATATCGCATATGTGTGTGTTCGCGTACTATGTCGCACCCTGCTTTTGCGAACGTATAAGCATAATGCCCTCCATAGTGTCATCCTCGACGCAAGATCTCAACATGCGCAACGCAGCATTGCGTGAACTGGTTATATGCTCCACTCCAGCCTTTTCCGCCCTCCCTCCCACACGGCCCTGGTCAAATCCCTTTCTGCACTACGCTTCTCTGGCGATGGCACGGCGGGGCACGACTCTTCGACATGAAGTCCACTGTGTCCGAGCGCGCGAAGGCTACGACAACCACCCCCTGCGCACCACCAGCGGCGTCGGGAAAGTGCAACGCCGGCCACGATTTGCGAGCGTGCGACGGATACGGCCTCCACTCCCGGCGCAGCATCCACGGTGTCGAGACAGCGCAACGCCTCCCACGCGTTGCGAGCAGGCGACGGATACTGCACCCACGCCCTGCGCACCCCCCCTGGCGTCGATACTATACAATGGCCACCACGCTTTCCGACCCTGGCACGCATGGAACCGCGCTGAAAGACCACTCCGTGTGCACCCCTCGATGTGTTGAGGAAGTCAATGACTCCATTTATGTCTGTGTAAAGCGTATGTGTTTCTGTCTCATGCGTGTGCGGCTCTATGTGGACGTGTGTTTCATGTGGGTGCGGCGCATGTGTTGACTGCGTTTGGCCCTCATGGTGCACTGAGCACACCTGGTGGATGACTGTATGTATGTATGCGTGCGCGCGTTATGCAGTCGGCATGTACGATGTGTGCGCGCACTTTATGTACGCGTGCGCATGTACGTATGCGTTGCGCGTGTCTGATGCGCATGATGTCATCAACGGCGCGCGTGTCCGGCGCTGTGTATGTGTGTGTCTTCGCGTCTGGTGCGTCTGCAACTGAGATGGTTCGGTTCGATCTGCGTGGCGGTTCCGGTGCCAGACCGGCCCCCTCCCCTCGGGGGCAGACGACGCCGTGCTTCGAAAGGATCAAACAAGCAGCTGCAAGCTTTGACGCAGAGAACACACAAATATGATATGCGGACATACTCACTCCACCACAAAGAAGGCCTGCCTATTGACTGTCTGATGTCGGCCCAGAAGCAAGGCTTCCACGCGAGAAACCTCTTGCTCCAATTCCTCGCGCTGTCAACTCTGGCGAGAAAATCAAAATCCCTTTTTTGCCTGAAGCTCCATAGAGCAATGACTGGTGAATTTGTCGCAATACTGCTCTACCCGGGCGGTTGACCGCTTGACGTGCTCCACCCAAGCTTCTGTGCCACCACGCGCAAGACGAAAAATGCTGCGGGAACTTGGTCCCCAGGTCGCATAGAAACGGTCCGAGGTTGCTTCGTCCATGGTCCAAGGTTCGAAGCAGTACAACGCAGTGGGGACAACAACGCTGCTCAACAAGCGCACGTGGCATCGTAGAGGATATTTTCGCGAGCACTGACTGACTGACTGACAAACCATGCACCAAGCGGTGCGTGGGCATGAACGCTGGCTGAAAGAAAGGCCTGGGCCTTGGCTACACGCTGGGCCACTGCTGTCGGCTCTCGGTAAGAAGCTGTATTTGTGCGCCGGGAGCCAACGGCACCACGCGCGGGAAGGGCGCGCAAGTGGGTCACACTGGGACGACCAAGAGGAGGAGGAGGAGGAGGAGGAGGAGGAGGAGGAGGAGGAGGAGGAGAAGGAGGAGGAGGAGGAGGAGGAGGAGGGCGAGGAGGATGCCGTGCTACCAATGATGCATGCGTAGTGCTTCATCATCTCATTGGCAAGCTCCTTGTATGTCCTACCAACCCTCCTCGTCGCAGCATCTGTCTGTGGTGTCAACGGGCCGGAAACGAACGTGACCGTCCGCAGCAGATGTCTACGATCAGCGCGTAGCACTTGACCAAAGAGCAGAAGCTGCCGGCGCAGAAGTTGTTGGCTCGCTGGGGCGTGGTCTGGACGGCTCAGCACGTCTACGTTCCGTACGCGTGAAATCCATGAAGGTCGGATGCCTATGCTCTGCCAGACACACCTGTCCTGGAAGCCGTCCAACCGCCTCAGCTGTGATTTTTTAGTCAAGCACGGCCCTGCTAGCCCGCATAACATCTTATACTCCACAGTCAAAATGAAAGTTCGCAGTTTTCGCGGCCAGGTCAGGGAAGAATGGGACCAAACTTCCCGCAGCATTGTGCAATTCCTCTTGGCCCCTCTGGTTTGTCTACCCCATTCGTGGCCCATGTCTGCATCTGCCGACAGATGTGCTCCAAGGTATTGTAGGTGCTGCACATGCTTGAGGGCCGTGCCGTCAGGGCATGTATCACGCCCTTCGACTGAACTGCGAGTGCCTGAAACTTGCCCCAATGCAACTCCATTCCGTAGAGCTTGCCCGCGGAGGCAACGGCGCCCAGAAACTCGCTCAAGTGCTCTTCATTCGAGCTGATCAAGAGTGTGTCGTCTGCGTGAATGCAATCCGACAAAACGCCCTTGAAGTGCGCCTCCCGGGCTCCGCCGACAAGCTTCGAGGCAACATCGTGCAAGAGCACAGTCATGACCAGGACGAACATCAGCGGGCTGAGGGCGCAACCCTGCGAGATCCCAGACTGCTGGGGTCTAGGAGCGGACTGGTCGTCGCATTCCCTCACCACGAACGCGCATTTCTCCATCATCACGCCGACCATCTCCCGGAACTCAGATGGGGCGCCAGTCCGCCGCAATGCGCCCAGCAAGCTCTCTGCGTGCATACTCTCAAACGCCTTCTTCCAATCCAGCGCTACCCGGGTGACAGCTCCTCCTTTCTTCGCCCTGGCTGCTTGCGCGCGCCTCCGGGCAACATAGATGGCGTGCTCGGTGCTGCGGCCAGGAAACCAAACTGAAACGCCCGCAACCTCTCACCCACGCCAGCATCCAGGAGCCTCTGCTCGAGCATGGCGGAGAATGCTTTCATGCCGACGCATTGAAGCGACAAGGGTCGGTAGTTGTCGCATTTACCTGGCTCACCCTTCTCGCAGCATAAACTCACATGAAACTTGCGCCAATCATCCGGAAGGTTTTTCTCTGCCCACGCGGCCTTGCAGACGTCCAGCAAGCACTGCAAGTGCCCTTGCTCAGCAGCGAAAGATGTATAAACTCATGCTGGGAGGCCCCCTCTCTTGCAAGATCTTCCAGGGCGCAACTTCTGCAAGGCGCGACGAAAGTCTGCATCCGCAAAGCGATCAAGATTCACGTTCAATGCCTTGTAGATCGCATCGCCTGTGTCTGGCGCAAGAATTGTAAAGCGCACGCACCACTGGACTGCCAAGGTGCTCCGCAAATGCCTCCGCGCGCTCATCTGTCGCAACCGGGTCGCTGCCTCGATTGCGAAGTCGCCCTTGCGGCCAGCCTCTGCGTTTCAGTATCTTTCTGATGCAGCCCCAGTCTCCTGCAGCTGCCATGTTCTCGAGCCACGCAGTGCGATGGTGCTTGGCCGACTGCTTTACGGACCTTCTCAATCGCAGCTCGGCGGCCCAGTCGCCGCTCGGATATCCAGGGCTTGTTCGGCTTGCGAATGTAA